TTTAATAGATGGCATTCCTGAAACATCCCTACGTAACCAAGCCAGGATCCAGCAATTTAAAAACAAATCGGATCTTCTATCTGCATTCGAAAAAGTGTCATTAAAGGATAATGATAAGACTAATGGTGAAAATAAAAATTCTGTTTCCAAGGAAATTGTCAGTGAAATAACATCTAGGGAAAAAAATTCAACAAGACCTACACAACCCCCTCTCCGCTGTTTCAACTGTAGTAGGAATGGTCATATTGCTGCGAGTTGTACTTTGCCAAAGAGACCTGTGGGCGCCTGCTTCAAATGCTTTGAACTTGGACACCAGTCCAAAGATTGCACCAAGGAAAGAATTCGGCAACAAAAGAAAAACCAGGTTTGCAATGTGATCCTTAATACTGAAAATATTGGTGAAGTGTTATACGCGGATGTTGAACAAGAGCAGCTTACAACAGTTGATAACATTAATTCTGAGAATATGTTGAACGAGCAATGTTTTCGACTTCTTACATTTGAGTTTGATGATGGAGTGGGGAGTCACATGGTGTCCATAGACACACTCTTCGATACAGGGAGCCCCGTTAGTTTTGTAAAGCAGAGCCAACTTCCAGTGGGGAGCATTCGACATTGCGCAGCTGATTTTCAACAAAACTACAGTGGGATTAATAACAGCGTATTACAGAAGATAGGTTATGCGTCAGCAAGGGTAAGATTCAACAATGTTTTGTATGAAATCGAAATGATCGTTGTACCAGATAATACTATGAAAATGTCTGCAGTATTAGGTCGCGATGTTTTAAATAAATTTAATTTAGGTTTTATGGCTTTGCCAAAAATTGAAGCTGAAGTCATAAAAGAAATTTTTGCAGTCGATATTGAAAATGATAATATTTTGGATTCGTTAATAATAAATTCGGAAATTGATCTTAAGTTACAGTCAGAAATTAGAAATTTGTTTTTTAATGAATACTTGAATAAAGAAAAACCAGAATTTGCTAATATTAAAATTGAAATGGTCTTGAGGTTGACGGACGATAAAGTAATAAATTTCGGTCCAAGAAGACTTTCTTTTGAAGAAAAAAGAAGACTGCAAAGAATCTTAGATGACTTGCTGGCACGGAAAATTATCCGAGAAAGCAATTCTATATACGCATCGCCAATTGTTTTGACTAAAAAAAAAATGGAGAACTTAGATTATGTATTGATTTTCGATTTTTAAATAAAATTACAGAACGATTGAATTACCCTTTTCCCCTTATTGAAGATTTAGTTGATTGTCTACGTGGTAAAAAATGGTTCACGTTACTCGATTTGAAGGATGGCTTTCATCATATCAGTATGTCAGAAGAGTCAATAAAATATACGGCTTTTATTACACCCCTTGGTCATTTTGAATTTCTCAAAATGCCCTTTGGTCTCAAAACAGCACCAGCCGTTTTTCAAAAATTCATTAATAAAATATTTGAAGATCTTATCAGATCGGGTGACGTAATCATTTATCTCGACGATATATTGATTGCGAGTGAGACGATTGAGCGTCATTTGAAAATTTTAAAGCAGGTTTTGTCTTTAATGGTAGAGAATAAACTTGACTTGAGAACGGACAAATGCAGATTTTTACAAACAGAATTGGAATATCTTGGATATAAAGTCTCGGTTGAAGGCATAAAGCCAAATGAACGCGGTGTAAGTGCTGTCGTCGATTTTCCGGTACCGTGTAACGTTCGCGAGGTACAGAGTTTTCTGGGTATGTGCTCGTATTTTCGTAGATTTGTGGCCGGTTTTTCGATGGTTGCAAAACCTTTGTTTGATTTATTAAAAAAAGATGCAAAATTCGAGTTTGGTGAAGATCAGTTTCAAGCATTCGAGACCTTGAAATTAAAATTAATAAAATCGCCGGTGTTAAGCATTTATAGTCCTAATGATGAGACCGAATTACATTGCGACGCGAGTAAGCTGGGTTTCGGCGCAGTCCTATTACAAAGAAAAAAAGACGGTTTATTTCATCCAATCGCATATTTTTCGAAACGTACTACTGAGGCCGAATCTAAGTACCACAGCTTTGAACTCGAGACACTTGCAATTGTATACGCGTTAAGGCGTTTTCGAATTTATTTACAGGGTATAAAATTCAAGATTGTTACCGACTGTAATGCGTTAAAATTAACACTCGACAAAAAAGAGATTAACCCTCGAATTTGTAGATGGTCCGTGGAATTAGAAGATTATGACAAAACTCTCGAACATCGGAGCGGTGATAAGATGCGCCACGTGGACGCTCTCAGTCGAGCCGTAAACGTCATGGTAGTCGAGGATAATACCCTAGAATCGAATTTAATTATTAGTCAAAATTTGGACAAAGCTATTGTGGATTTGCGCGAAAATTTACAAGTAAAAGAGGACAAATTATATGAAATGCGCAACGGGATAGTTTATAGGAAACGGAACGGGGGAATATTATTTTACGTCCCAACAAAAATGGAAAATAATGTAATTTTGAAATACCATGACGAAATGGGCCATTTTGGCCCTGAAAAAACTGCAGAAGCGATATTGCGAAATTATTGGTTCCCTCAATTAAAGTCTAAAGTAAAAGCACACATCGCGAATTGTCTTAAATGTATTGCATTTTCACCGACGACAGGAAAGAAGGAAGGTTATTTAAATACTATACCCAAAGGAGACGTGCCTTTCTTGACCTGTCATATTGACCACTTTGGTCCAATCGACAAAAATATTGCAATAAAAAAGTATGTTTTGCTAGTGATCGATGGTTTCACCAAATTCTCAAAGCTTTATGCGGTGAAAACAACTAACACTAAAGAAACCATTGATTGTCTTTTTGATTATTTCAGAAATTATAGTCGTCCGAAAATAATAATATCCGATCGTGGTTCGTGTTTTACTTCCGACGAGTTTAAAACTTTCACTGACGAAAATAATTTAAATCACGTTTTAATTGCAACCGCGTCCCCTAAGGCAAATGGGCAAGTAGAGCGGGTCAATCGAGCTTTGGGCCCAGCTTTAGGAAAAATTTCCGATCCCACTTCCGGTAAGTTGTGGTACAGAATGTTATCTGACGTTGAATTCTCGCTAAATAATCTTGTGCATAGTACAACCGGTATAACACCGAGTAAATTGCTTTTCGGTGTTAACCAAAGAGGAAAAGCGTTGGATTTTGTCGCGGAGTATTTGGAGGAAACGGGGCGCGTTGAAGAAGATAGGAATCTTGAAATTATAAGAAAAAAAGCGAGCGAAAATATCATTAAGTCCCAAGATTATAATAAAAAAAATTTTGACTCAAAGCGAAAAAATCCGCATAAATATGAAATAGGCGATCTCGCAGTTATAAGAAACTTTGACAGTACGGTAGGCGTTTCACGCAAACTCATGCCTCAATATAAAGGACCGTATAAAGTAACAAGAAAATTAAGAAATGACAGATACGTGTTGACGGACCCGGAAAATTTTCAGATGACGCAAAAGCCGTACATGGGAACGTGGGAGGCTTGCAATATGAAGCCTTGGCACACGGATTTTGTTTCGTTGCTATGCGAACATTATTGTGAACATTTTCCTTCGGTAGACCAATTCGAGACGAATTATTAAGTAGGATGACCGAGTGGTAATTGTAAACTCAGGTCATATAATTAGAATTGTATACATTTTGTCGCGGAGAATTACATTTCAACCCCTTGCATCCTCAAGCAAGAATTAATCCCTACTTGACATTGTAGAATGCTAAGAGATTGAATGTGAATGATTTGACGAGAGAGGTGTGTTTTTCTAAAGATAGTCACGAGGCGGTCGAATGAACGAATATGCGTGGTAATTTCTGTGAGAAATTGTGTGTATACGTTTATCTGAAAATAAGGATTATTCGAACCGAAACAACAACGTATTAATTGTAATTTAAAAAAAAAAAAAATAGAAAAATTAAGTCAAAGAGAAATTTTAAATAAAACTATTTAACAAGTCGATTGGTATATGTATGTTTAAATTTTGTATGAGTGCGTATGTGTATGTTTATTTAATTGTAGATTTTATTATGTGAATTAACGTGGAAGAAATAAATAAAACGAAAATAAATTCATGCACGTGTATAATGGACGGATGATCGACGCTGTTGATGTTGATACGAATGCTTAAGGTACGACTGATATCGCGGCTTGATTGTGTGTTTGTGCGTGTAGGGATTTTATTGTGCAATAATTCTCGAGTATTTATAAAGTTTCAATTTTGAAGTCATTGTAAGGTTCTGTTTTAATAATTCAAAGATATTTGTAATTCGAGACGAAATACAGTCAGGACGGCCGAATTGTAAGAAATATTGAATATATATGTATGTGTGTGATGAGATGACTCATCATTCATAGGCTTTTCTGATAAACTCAGTCTTCGACGAGCTACCGAATCATATGGTCGAAATAAAGAACCTTTAATTATATTTGATCTTGTTTTATTTCCTTACATAAGTTATATATATTTTTTAAGAGCAATTTTTTTAATATTACATTTTTTTAACTTATAATGTGACATTTTCAGTCTCATTGACTAGTTAAAAAATACACTCATGGGTAATATTCTTTCTAAAACAAATATTGAAATAAATTATTCAAAAATGATTATTTTCAAATAAGTATTATTTTTCTTAAAAATGGATTTATATTATTGAAAAATAATCAATTAACCCTTCTATATATTCTCCATTCAATGTAATTTTTCATTAATGTACAAAAAATTGATCTGTAAAAAACTATTTTAAATCATGGAAAACCTGGAAAAGTCTTGGAATTTTATTTTCAAAAAGTGCTAGACACCCTGATTCTTTTTGTCAATTTGTAAAAATTTATAATCTGACAACTTAAGTAAAAAAAACAAAGAAAGTATCTTCTGAATTGCCATGTGTTCCAAATCTTTTTTGAAACAGCAGGTTTTACATGGCTAATCTGCTAAAATTGCATTTTATCGCACCCAACAATGTTTTGACCATTGCATTGAAAAATTTTCAGACAATACGAATGTATTTTATTAAAAAGTGGTCAGTGCAAAGCCCGTGGAGTTGAGAAAGATGGAGTTTTCACAGTAAAACCAGACCACACACATCACGCCGATATCATTGATAACAAGAAACGGAAAATGAAGCAAGAATTGTGCGTCAAGTCAATCAATGAAGGAAATAAATTTAAGGAGATTTATAACCAAACACGCCGTAATCATCCTGAAGCCGCTGTCCATCTTCCATTTGCAAAATGTGAAAATCTAATGTTCAAATGGAGGCGCACAACTTGGCCTCGGAGACCGAATTCATTGAGGGAATACGCACAACTTTTGAATTCACAAGAATATGACTCATGGCGACAATATAATGGAGGAGAATTCACAGTGTCTCACATCACTGACATCGCAGGGTCCAACTCGGTAATTTTTATTGATCCGTTATTTGCGAAGAAAATAAATGAAGGAAACAGTTTGAATATTGACGGGACATTCAAAATTGTGCCGCAAATAGACGACGGTAACATGTTCGTGACATTTATGATGTCACGTTTTAATCACGTAAGCAAAATGTTTTTCAATATTATTTTTGAATTGGGTCAAACCATTGAAAATCATCTGAGAGTGGTTGCTGACATATTTTAAAAAAATCTAGTTTTAAAATAATCTAAAGCTAGATGAATTTCTGAGTTTATTGGTCACAATATTATCGTGTAAATTTTTTTTCGTTTGAAATTATAATTAATTCAAAGTAGGAGGTTCTCGACGTGACTTCGTAACCTTGAGTGTTGCACTTTTTTTGGAAACGCCATTATTCAAAAACTATTAAATATTACATGTTATTATTTACCGGAAACATAAATCAATTTATTCAACATTAAAAAATGATGGAATTATTATGTAATTACTTTATTTTAAGATACTAATTCGAATTTGAAAATTTGATGAGTAAAAAAAATTTCACAATTTTTCGAAGCTTGTACATTTTTTCTGGATGCTTCAAAAAATTTGGGGTTTCGCACATATTTTAATATTGATATAATTTACCTGCTATGAAAATTTGGTGAGGGTTTTTTGCTCCGTATCGGAAGTAATAAATTTTAAAATTGTTTACTTAAAAAGGTTAATTCTAGGACTTGAAGTTAAGACTCCTACTTTGAATTGATTATAATTTCAATCGAAATAAAATTTACACGATAATATTATGACCAATAAACTGAGAAATTCATCTAGTTTCAGATTATATTAAAACTAGATTTTTTAAAATATGTCAGCAACCACTCTCAGATGAATTTCAGTGGTTTGACCCAATTATGATATGAATTATATCAGAGACAAAAGTTAAATTCTTATATTTGTGAAACATACAGGGTTTCCCATTGGCTTATGCTCTTATGGAAAATAAGACTGAAACAGCATACAGATCAGTATTCCATGAAATACAAAGAATCGTTCCGGAATTCAGTGCCACAACCATTATGACGGATTACGAACCAGCTTTGCAGAATAGTGCGCGAGCATTCTTCCCAAACGGTGAACACCACGCGTGTTACTATCACTACACGCAGGTAAATTTCGTGTGGAATAATTATAAATTTAATAACAATAACAGGCTTCTGAGTGTGTTACTGTTTTACTTTTTTGACACTTTTTTTGAACAATGCTACTTTTTTACTACTAATTTCGACAAAATTCTATTAAATGCTACCTTTTTCTAAAAAGTGTCAAAGAAATTGCCAAAATTCAAGAATTTTAATTTCAGGAGTGTAAAACAAAAATTAAATCTTTCATTTACCACCTTAAAATTTATTAAATATAATAATATATCAATAATAATTTTATTTAATAAAAATAAATATGGGGGATTTCACGTCAGATGTTAAACACATGTTAAATTCGGGCAAACAATTTTTTTTCATTCCTTGGAGAAAGAAAAGGTATACGTATTTTTTTAAATTTTTTTTTGGAGGACAAATTTCCGAGTAACGAATTTTAAAAAATTTTTATTTTTTACAAATAGACCTATTTTCAATGACCTTTAACTCGAAAATGATTGATTTAAGAAAAATATCGCCAAAGGGAAAAAGTTTGGTTTTTCTTCGACTTTCAAATTAAGTTAACAAAAAAAAAAATTTTTTTTCAATTTTTATTTAAACAATAATAATTTTTTATAAACAATTCTACTTTTTCAATTGTTTAAAATTTCATTTCTTAGCTGATAACAATAAGAACAGTTTGCATTTAATTCTAGAACGGGCCTGATAAAATTTCTTGTTTATATAATTTGTTTATTAAAAAATAAATTTTTTTTGCCTTTTTTAAGGTTCTGTTCACGAAGTGAACCATGAAGGAACCCTTATGAAATCGTTTATGGTTTTTTGGTCCCCTCCCCCTGCCAAAATTTAGCCATTTCAACTAAATAAACTCAAAATTGGTACCCATACGTATTTTTACGTTTAGGTTTCACGAAAAATATAGCGAACCCGATTAGAATTGATCTAAATACATTTTTTTTTCGAAAAACGTGTTTTTTTCTCTCAACTTTTACAATTTTAAAGCTAAAGAGTTGCAATTTGGTACACATACGTATTTTTACTAGTAAATTTCACGAAAAATATGGCGGACCTGATTGAAATTGATCTAAATGTACACTTTTTTGAAAAACTTATTTTTCTCGAATAACGCTTTTTTCCTCGTTAATTTTTACAATTTTAAAGCTAAGGAATTGCAATTTGGTATACTGACGTATTTTCACGAGTAGATTTCACGAAAAATATAGCAGGCTAGGTTGGAATTCATAAAAAATTGAAATTGATACCTACATATTATCACGTGGATATTAGGAAATTAGGAATTGTTTAAAAACTCTTTTTTGGTAAACAATTTTTTAATTGTGATTTTTGCGCTAAATGACAAGAAAAAATTGTCGAATTTAAATGATTGTAAACGGAACCCTAGGTTAGCGAGTGTAACTCGCACTTGATCAATTTTTTCATTCTTTCAATCAAAAAGTATTTTATTTTTATTTTCTACGAGGAAAATGAATAACTCTAGAGATAAAAAAGTTTCTGTTCTAAAAATTGAAAAAATGCCAAAAAAAATGTTTTTTATGTGAACAAATTATTTAAATATTAAGATATTATAAATATTTAAAAATTTAAATATTTAACTCCAAAACTGTTTGCAAACTATATTTATATCATTCTCAGATATGAAATAAAGCAAAAAGAATTGAAAAAATGTTAAAATAAAAAAAAATGAATTTGTTTATAAAAAAACTATGATTTTTTAAATAAAAATTCAAAAAAATATTTTTTGTTAACTTTATTCAAAAGTTGAAATTTAAAGTCTACAACAAAATTTTTAATTTTTTATTGACATTTAAACATTTTAGATAGATGACAATTATCATTTAAATTTTTTACCTAAAAAGTTAATTTTACTCCACTTTAAATATGCTACTTTTTTCCTTATTTTTTCAATTTTGAGGATACTTTTTTCCTCAAAATGCTACTTTTTCATTCATTTTTGCTCACCTACTAGAGTTCGAAGTCTGCAATAATACAAATTCATTTTTATGACCAGTCCATCTATCGCAATGCTGTGCAACTTGATCTCAAAGTGTATCTGACGAACGATCGCGAGGGAAATCAATTTCTGCGCCAAATTTTAGCCCTCGGATTACTCCCGCACCATGTCGTTCAGCAAACATACCGAGCCATAAAGCGATCAAAAAGCCAACGGTGCTTAAGGATAATGCGTGCTTTTTTAATGTACTTTGAGAGGCACTGGTTAAGGAATATAACGCCAAGAGTTTTTAGCGTTTTTGGATTGGCAAAAAGAACGAACAATACAATCGAATCCTACCACAAGGTTTTGAAAAGTCACTTTGGAATCCATTCAGCCATTTGGGCATTCACGAAAAGTTTACTCTCATTCCAGGAGGGTTTCATTCTCGACTTAAAGACTTTGGAAAGGGGAAACCAATTGACCAGAACTCCTAAAGCCATTACCATCATGAGAGATCAATTCATTACATATGGTTGGACGGAGCTTCAAGCCGGACGCAAAACACCATTGGAGTTTCTCAATGAATACGTTGCGTTCAATCGACAGCCTTTGGAGCGATATTTGGATATTTTCGGAATGTAATCCGACAAGGGAATACTACTCGGATTTTCCACAACTACTACTACTTTTCCATAAAATCTTTTTTAATTTTTAATTACTTCATTAAAATTTTAATCCCATCTAATGAAAAAAATAAATGCTCTTCAGAAATAAAGTAAAATTTTTTCAATTTAATGTTCCAAAATGTTGTGCTGAAGTGCCGTTTCTTCTGATTCATATTTATAGAATCATTTCTCGTCACTGGATACAATTTTCTTTATATTTTTTTTGTGTTAAATAAAATACTCGCTTGGTACAGCAAATCTGCGAAAATCACATTAACATCAATGAAGATGGCGAAGAATGGCGAAGAAAATCAATAAGAACGAGAAAAAAACAATTCTGAAAAATATAACGGAGGCAATGTCAATGTCAGTTGAGAATGGGAGATATTTGGAGTTACCTCAGGTCCAAGTGCCTGATTGGTGTTTCCGATTGTTGTCTCGAGTTTAACGTTTGGTGAGTGCATTATTTATAGTTTTTTTTCAAAAGAAGTACTCCACTTCACACTTTTTCTGCTTGCATCTTTTGGTGTTGGTTCTCTAGATTCTGAAGAGAAATGTAACACGCATGTTGATCATTAAAATCAGTCGAAAAAGTTTCCTGATTTTTCCCTGAAATTTTCTTGACTTTCCCTGACCTCTTTTTTCTAAATTTTCAAACTAAAAATTGGAGAATTTTTATTAGTCAGAAATTTCCATGACTAATTAAAAATCCTCTGTCTTCTCCCAGACTTCCAGGTTTTCCCTGACTAGTGGCGACCATGGCTTTGTAAGTTTTTTACCCCTTATGAAAGCAAAAAAGAAGTTAAAAAATACCAATTCACAAATTTTTAACCCTTCGAAGCGCAAATTTTTCATGAAAAATAAAAATGTTTTATTACAAATTTTAGATTCCAAAGAAACAAACTGTCGCGCAGACATCGGCAGAGCTCGCCCGGGTAGTCGAGGTGATGATGTTGTAGAACGTCCCATATCAACAGCGCCAGAAGGTTTACAGTGCCTGCAAAAGTTTCAAGGAATCGTCGTCATTGTGCGTGCAATGTTGACTTTACCTCGCACAAAAATCGCCCGATCGTAGCTCGATTGTACGTCATTTCGGGCTGCAATTGCTCGAGCACTGTATCAAATACAGATGGACGCAAATCTTCCAATCGGAAAAGCTCTTCATCAAGGAGAATTCAATGAAACTCTTGCAGGAAGGCACGGAACCATTGCTCCAAGAGGAGGCCCACATCAAGGACGCACTGTCCCGGGTGATTGTCGAGTTGATAAAACGCGAGTGGCCTCAACAGTGGCCGACACTTCTCGCTGAGCTCAGCGAGGTTTGCACTCTGGACGAGAGTCAAACGGAACTTGTTTTGCTCGACTTCCTGCGACTCATCGAGGACGTTGCGCTTCTTCAAACTCTCAAATCGAATCAGGGGCGGAAGGATATTTATCAAGCGTTGACTACCAATATGGCGCAGATTTTCGCCTTCATCCTGAGATTGATGGAGCAGTATTTTTCCGAGTTCCAGAAGCAGGCGAATCTCGGGAGGAACACGGAAGCTGCTGCACACAGCGGAGTCGTTCGGGTGCGTTTCTTTGTAGTTAATGCGTTATTCATTTTATAATTAAACTTTTAATTTTCTATCTGATTTCAAAATATCTACGTTGAAATTTTTTATTTCAATGCTTTTAATTCCAGATAAAAATTACAACATTTTTAGTAAATTATTTTTCTTTGCTAGAAAACGAATATTTCAATCTCTATATTGTCAATTTTTGGCATAGATTGTTGTAAATTTGAAATGTAATATTTTTTAATTCTGAAAGAATGGAATTGTTCGTGATTTCACATTTTTTCCAGGGGGTTTTGAAAACCCTGACCGGATTCGTCGAGTTGGTTTCGATAAATCACATAATGGCGGATGAAGGTCGACTTTTGCAGATTCTTTGCCTCCTTCTGGGAAATTATAGGTGTTCAGATGCTCGGCGGCAGAATGTTTATTGCATGTGGTGGACAGGAAAGGAAAGGCAAATGGTCGCAAGCAATTGATAGTTTTGTTCAACGAAGAGACTCCTAGATGCATTCATGTTACGGCAACTGCGGCTCCTCCACCTCCTGGACCCAATAATCTCTATGAAACCCATTACCTTTTCTTGAAAAAACTGACTCAGGTAATTATTGACGAGAAAAAATTTTTTAATTTAATTTTCATTACCCGGCAATGAAATACTTAAAAAACACAATGAATTTCAAAATAAAACCTTGAATTATTAAAATTTTCTGAAATGACATCTTTTGAAATATTAGTTGTGTCAGTTAAAAAACTTTATTTGGATTTCACATTTTTAGATGTTAATCGGAATGACAACGCAACTGTATCTGCTGTGGGGCAAAGACGACAGTTCCGAAATTCGTCCGACACATTTTAACATTTTCCTCGACACTGTTCTCCATTTCACGATGCATTCCAATTTGACGTTGACGCATTTAACAACTTGCCGCGAGAGACCAACTTTTGATTAGCTGAAATCTATTCTGCTAATTTGATCCATGTGACTGCACCCTAAGAGAAAACGCATTCAAAAACAAAAGCAAACAGCTATAGCAAACGGATAGCGGAGTGATAAGAAAAAGGTAATATAAATTTAAATTTATCCTATTAAAATTTCACAATAATCTGAAACTGTTACCTATAAAATTAAAATCATTTTTTATTAAAAATTTTGTGATTTGTGATCCTTTTGCAATGCAATACAATAATATAACTTACAATTTTTTGCATAGGCGTCCCTTTTAATCGGAACAATTTTTCGAGATCAATCATGGAACGTGATCAAAGGAGAAATGGTAAATAATTTAAAGAATTATATGCACTGAGAAAAAACCGTTGTAAATTTATAACGTCCAACGTGACTTTATCAATGGACAACGTCTGACATTGTAAATTTACAAACGGTCAGTTTTTGTACAAAATCTTGCAATATACTGCAAGATTTTGTACAAAAACTGACTACAACTACAACGTCAGACGTCGCTTTTTTCCTAACCTTAGTTTTCCTACTATGTCCAACGCCATAAATTCAATAACAAATTCATTTGTAAATTTACAATCAGCTTGTAATCCTATACTCAGGGTGTCTAGCGACCTGGAATTCCTTGAACACCTGAACAAGTCCTTGCATTTTTTTGTACCATTTTTAGGTTAAGAAGTTCAAAATGTTTTAATTTTTACGGAGAGAAGTTTTTAACATAAAAAATTATGGAACAAAATCTCCTCTGCTTTTAAATAACAATTTTTTATATTAATGCAATACAAAATAATATAACTATAAATTACAATAAAATATTTCTATAATATTTTTGATTATTAAAAACTACCTATATAACTGATTGAAAATTATAAAAATAAATATTTTTTTTAATATTATATTTTTTTAACTGATGTGATATTTTTAATCTCATTGACTAGTCGAAAAATACATTTTATAGGTAATCAATTTTTTAACGAAATAATGAAATACATTATTCAAAAATTATTAATTATTATCATTTTCAAGTAGGTATTTTTTTAAATGGGTTGAAATGATTGCAAAATAATCAATTAACTCTTCTGTGCTTTTGTACATTTAATGTATTTTTTCATTACTATGTAAAAAGGTAATCAGAAGTTACCCGCGCGCAAATTTTGCTAATAATATATAAAGTAGAATACTAATAAAATAAGTTTACAAACTTTTTTAAATTTTATATCATTAGATTTTTGTAAAAAAAATATGTCAGGTAATTTTAATTTTAGGTTATTTATTATTTAATTTTTTACAGATTACAACAGAATTTGCTGTATATGCCAAGAAGCCCCAGCCACACATTCCTTTGTGCCATGTGGACACATAATAATATATTTAAGTTGCAAACCGGCATACGAATTCGCCAATCACCTTGACTTCTGCCCGTTCTGCAGGCAGCCATTCACATTCATTATGAAATTATTTTAATTTATTGTAATCCTACATTATCATGTTTTATATTATATATATTTTTAAATATTTAAAATATTATTAATAAAAAGGATACTAATTTTTATATAACAATTCAATTCTTAGTTATTAATAATTTAATTTTCAATTTTTAAAAACCTTTTTCCCAAAATATTGAAACATATTCCTCATGCTCCATATATTTAATTCTACCAAAAAAAAAAAAAAAGAAAAATCTATTTCATTTACCGACAAGATACAAAAATCTTCTATTTATATAATTGTACATTCTATCCGTTGCAAGTTCGGATAAATAAAATTCTATCATAAAATATTTCTGCATTTAAAAATTCGACTAAATTAAAATTTCATTGGACAGAATTTCTAACTAAAAACAATTTGGCTGAAAAAATCGAACAAACGACATTTCTGTTAGATGAAAATTCGTAATAGTTCTAGTTCTATTAAATTAAATTGTAACCAATCAAAGTTCGTAGTCAAACAATAAAGTAAGTCGAAAATAATTCGAGTAACCTAAAACTGTAGAAGATTTCATTATCCCAATAAAAAGTTCAGCAGACTCAAATTCCGGTGGGGTTTGTGAAACGCGTCATATTTGCTGATTCGTTGCAAAACTGCCGCGTACGAAACCAGCTGAAAAATCAAATTGATCTATTTTAATTTTTTTAGAAAAATTCATGACATAAATATTTGCAAAAAAAAGGAATAATAAAATAAAATTTTGCAATCACCTGAGAATTGAGCGAATGTTTGAGGTAAATGATTTGGACCCGGACTAACTAGAGCTTGTTGAAGTATACAGTCTGCTAGATTGTAGAACTTGGCCACTTACACCTCGCGGTAAAATCTGTCAAATGAAAAGAAAAATGTTTCGCAATAGAAAATTTACTAGATTTTTATTACGTTTAATTTTACACGTTTTTCGTCTTTGGTGGAAGATTTCTTACAGTTTTAATATTTATGCCCCACTGTAGATCACTCCAACGTTCATGCCAAGCTCTCTCAGTAAAAGAGCCTTTAGGCTACTAGTTTTGCTGGTAACTTTATCCATTGTCAAAAGAATATTACACATGATGTTTCGCTAAAACGAATCTGAAAATTTCAGATAATTTAAGCATACAATTTTATAGAGTTACCGATTTTTTAAACAATATTGCAATATCATATTTGACTGTAAAATAATAAAATTATTTGAATGAGGAAATTTTATTTTTTATTTATAGATGTGAATGAATAAAAATAAAAAATATATCTTAATAAATTATAAATTTGTTTTTCAACAATAAACTGCTTTATTTATGAATGAATAAATCTTTACAATTGCAAATAATTGTATTTTATTACTTATATATATATTTAATCAACGAACTGTTAACCAAAAAAGCATGACACTTTCGATATGTCATCAACATTTTCAAACTATTCGTAACACAAGACAAAGCATCTTAAATAAAAAAATGTAATTTGGACATTAGTATAAAAACGAAAGTATTAATCTCCAAAGGCTTATTATTGTCATTTTTATGCGAAAGAAAATCTTGGAAAATATTAAGCAATACAAGACCAAACTAACCTATAAAATTGTGAATACGGATATTTTATTTTTGCCCTGACAGTAAATAACAAAAATAAAAACTCACGTGCATTTACCCTCGACCTTGTATAATAAAATCACTGCAGAAAACATATTTTTTTATATCTGTTATAAATCAAAAACTATTTATTAAGAAAAAAGTAACAAACAGTACAGACCCTCTCACGGTGAAAATTACCAAGGCATTGTCGCGCTTTCAATTCCTTTCAGAAATAATCAGTAGAGCCCTCTACATCTACTTTTACCGACAGAAATAAATTCACAGGGATGAGAAACTCATGTCCAGAGAGTGACTTCTTTTATTTTGTGACAAAAAAAAGCTGACACTAGAATATTTTCGAGATTATTATGATATACGATAATACTGTTGTGCAAATTGAGGTTAGATATCAAGAAATGTTTGTTAATTTACGTTTATAAATTAAAATATTTTACAAAGTAACGATTAGATTAAAAAAAAAGTAGACAAAATTAAATTTTATTTTTATAATTTTGATAAACTTACATCTAGAGAATTTTAACATTGACTAAATAACAAGTAGATACAAAAAATTATATTTAATTATAAATTGGACAATTTTAAATTAGCAAATATTCTTATTTGGTTCAATAAATCTTAGAAAATATATACCGTAGCTTATAAAAATGTTACATTATTTAAATTTTCGATAGAAATAAATTTGAAAATTTTATGATTATAGTCAATTATAAATCGATGAAAATATTATTCTATGAAAATATTTTCTACAAAATTGTTCTTTGAAACAATAAAAGTTATCCCTAAATAACATTAGACAAAAATAAATTTGAACTATTTCTGCGTTTACATTTTTAAATTAGACGGTGTTATGCGTAGACAATATCAAGATGCGGGATTAGGCATGATATTTTTAGAAAAAATCATGGATTTTTCGAATAAAAAAAGAAGAAAATTTTATCCGAAGGGATCCAAATTTATACTTTTTTACGTATTTTTACTTGTAGATTACAAAAAAAATACAGCGAGAACGATTGGAGTTAATTATCATAGTGTTTTCAAGGAAAAACTGATAATTTTCGATAAAAATCATGATTTTTCCCCAAAAAACGAAGAATATTTTATCTAAAGAGTTTCAAATTTATACACTTTTACGTATTTTTGCGTGTAGATTACAAAAAAAATATAGCGAGAACTCCAATTGTGCTTGCTATATTTTTTTGTAGTGTTTTGCCATTCTTTATAATTTGCCATTTTCTTTTTTTTACCATTTGCTATTTTTTTTTATCTTTTGACATTTTTTATTTGTTGATATTTTTATTAATTGGTGAAATCTAAAAAAATCATAAAATTTAAAATGCTAAATGATAAAAAAATTAAAAATTTTTTAAAAACTTATGATATGTATTTCCATGCTCACATTACAAGAAAAATTAAGCAAAATTGGAATTTTTCCATCGGCCTTCACACTTTAAACCCCTCAAATTTTAGGATTAGGGGTACGGAACCCTCGGTTTTTATGCGAGTGTAACTCGCACTTGTCCGATTTTCTTATTTGACATACTGATCGAATTTTTTCAAAAGATTTTAAATTACTAATTATTTTATAAAAATTAACCTAAAAATTGCATATAATAAAAATTATTTTTATGTCGTAGGAATATGAGTATCAATTCAGTAGATTTTGCTAACAACGAAGCAGTGAGGAGAATAATTATTATGCTTTGGAAAATGATGTGGAAAGTATTAATAATTCTTTAATACAAAATGATAAAAATAAAAATGACAATTGCTTACTTTATGATCATGGAGGGGCAAGGATATGTATATATTAGATCGTTAATGAATTGTTATTGGCAGGATATTGGAATTTGTGTCAATGGTTACACGCTTCTTCAATGGGTTGACAAAAAGGAGAAAAATGTGAAACATGTAAAAGCCGAAATAGAAGGAGGGTTTTTATATAATAAAGGATTTAACAAAAAGGAATAATTATCCAATGATTACCATGATAGTTGTTGAAATAAGTGATTCCAGAAGTTTATCAAAAAATAGTTTATTAAATTACATTCAAATAATTGAATATTCTTTAAGTATTCAAGATGATGATGTTTCAGTATGTGACTTCCTTTCAATTGCATTTGTATTTTTTAATCATTCAGAATTGTTTTCCAAAGAATGAAACGATATTCTAGAGAAATTTAAAGAAGAGTCAGCTTTTTTCAAAATGATGAAATTGAAAACATATGGGGAATTATGCAAAATAAATTTAGAACCGGGGAAGCGCGAAACCTTCAATCCTTTGTCGATAAAGTTCACGAGGTTTGGGGTGAACTACTTTTGGAACCACACATCGCAGGTAATTGCATAAACTCAATGCCAACGAGATTGACAGAAGTAATAGAAAAAAATGGTTATTGGATAAAATATTAAAGTGTTGAAGGTTCAAATCCCAGTAAAAAAATTATTTTCATCTGAATCGTTTGAATATTTCACTTTATTAACAAATTTCTATATTTCCTTTTCAATTAATAAATTTGAATTCAAACCATTTAGGAGAAAATAATTCAAAGTAAGAAAAAAAGAATTCGTCGGAATGTTTCAATTCGGTTTGTACACGAAACCGAATTGAACTTAAATCACTGCCAATTAATTTCGCTTACTTTTCAGTTACATTGACAAGATAATTACATATTTAAGGGGGAAATCGCAGTTGTAGCGCCAAAAAATACACCTTTTTATGAATTTTTTTGTCATACACTATTAAATTTTTTTAAAATATGGATTTATTATTTAAAAGTACATATATATTTAACATGAATTTAAAAAAAAATTAAAAATATTTAATATTTTTCACTTTTTTTTAAATTCATGTTAAATATATGTACTTTTAAATAATAAATTGATATTTTGAAAAAATTTAATAGTGTACGACAAAAAAATTCATAAAAAGGTATATTTTTTGGCGCTACAACTGCGTATTGTCAACAAATCGAAAATTATTTTTCTTGTATCGCCACGTGAAAATTGATACAAATTATTAGCATCCAAAAATGAATGTCTAAATGTAAAATCTTTATTTTCCAAAGCATTTAATAGACAAAATTTTAAAAGATGAATTGATTCCTCTTCAACTTTTGCTTCAAATTTTTTGCCCAATATCAATTCTTTAACGAGTGTGAGACTACCGTTGTTGAAAATAACAAAATAATCGATAATCTATTTAATTCGAAAATAAAAAAAGAAAAAAGTGTATAAATAAAAAAAAAATTGTGCTTGTTTTGTAAAATCTTCATATTCACTAATTATGAATTCAAGTGGTTTAAAGAAAAGAAAAATATTTCTCGAATTCATTGAAATATTTTGTGTTCCATTTTTTTCATTAAATCTCAAACAAAGAATATTTTCGTACACAAAAAATGTCATGTAAATTCGAGATAAACGAAAAATGGTTTCAGATAGTTGAATTTTGAAAGAATACATAAAAATCATTGAAAATAATTGAATTTCAGGAGAGTTATAATTGAAATTAATAATTTTCAAAAAATTTTAGAAATAATTAAATTTCTGAAGCTTTTAAATTGAAATTTTTGAAAATAATTGACATACGAAAATTGAATTCCAAAAGTTTTTAATTGAAAAATGCTTTCAGATAATTGAATTTTTGAAGAATATTAATAAAAATCAATTAAAAAAAGTAAAAATAATTGACATTTTTGCAAATTATTAAATTTCATGTGATTTTGAATTAAAAATTTTTGGTAATTTTATTTACTAATTTTTTTTTGTAAATTATAAACAATTATTAAATTTCATAAAAATTTTAATTGAAAAATACTTTAAGATAATTGAATTTGTGAAGAATTTCATTAAAATTATTAAAAATAATGAATTTAGTGAAGAATTGTAGTTTAAAATTGACTTAATAATTGAAATAAAGAAGATCTGAAAAAGATCTGCATTGTATACTAAAAAAATATATATTTTGTTTAAAATTTAAAAAAAAGGTAAAAAAAGGCGCATTTTATTAAAATAAGTCGAAAAAAGTCGGTAAAAGTCGAAAAAGCCGTATAATCCGAGGTCTGAACGTCTAATTTCTGTATGGGCCATCACGGTTGTTGAAATAATAAAGTCAAAAAGCTCGATCAAAAATGTTTTATTGAAATACATACATATGATTGAATACCTTTAGAGTATTCTGTCAGATAATCTTTCTCCATGTGACTTAATTTTGATATCATTTGTAGCATTCAATCATTGCGAATTGTTGTCCAACCAATCAAAAGTGATTTTAGAAAAAATAAAAGAAGAGTCAGTCTTTTTTATGATAATGAAATTTAGATTAGAGATTTTTGGAAACAATACAAAAGCATTTAAGTCACACTGATATGAAAAATTTTAATTTTTTTTTCTAAAACATTTTTTAAAAGCACATTTTTTTCCAAAAGTTTTTAAATGTCTATTAGGGGAATGTATCCATAAGTGGACCACCTTTTTATTTACTTAAATATTTTTTTTAGACAAAGAAATTTAAAAACTATAATACACCGTTGAGTTGGATATGTATTATTCCTACAGTTATAAATTATATATATATATATATATATATTGAGATTTTTTTCCAACTTCAAAGAAAAATTTTTACATCAATTTTCTGAACTGATGTTTTTTTGAGAAAAAAAATTTATATCCATGAGTGAACCACTTGCTGAAATCGCTTAATAATAATTAAAAATTAAATAAACATTGAAGGATTTCAATGCTTATAGAATATTTATTTCTTATGAATACTTAGAATATTCAAACAAACAAAATTATTAGTGCATTTTAATTAATTTCAGTGTTACAAATGTTGCAAATGAAATACCTTATTTTCTATTAGATTTACTTGGCTATGTTACCAATGAATCATTTTCAATTCCCTTTTTATCGGCAGATTTCTTTTTTAATGCTTTTAATGACATTTTGAAAATTTGTAAACGCAAAATGTCAAATTTACCACAGCACAGTGACCGATTTCCCGAAAAACCTGGCCAAAAGTCAAAAAATTTTTTTTAGAAATTTATACTTTTTATTATTGAATATTATAAAGGAGGGTTCACTGCATAATTTTGCGAAAAAAATTACACTTTTTTTATCACCAATTTATTATGTGAACAAGTAAAAGTGATCTTTGCCAGAGATTTACTCAGAACGTTTCATAACTATAAATTTTCGTCACAGTTAAAATAGTGAAAATATACTAATATACAGCAGATTTTTGAATATCTTTTTTTGGGAATTATTAACAAAGGTGTATGAAATAGGTTGAATGTATTTATCATCACATTTAAAACGTACAGTTTTTAAAAAATGACATTAAACATCGCTATTCATGGCTACGATTTTTGTATTGTTTTATCAACGTAAATCATGAAAATAGTTGTGAAATCCACCGATATCCGCGCCCTACCTGGTATTATCATAAACTAGAATATATTTTTGATTCATTTTAATTGAAATCAGCTGCCCCAAGCTGCCCCTGCAGTTTTGGTATCACTTTT